GGCCGATAATTAGAGAGATTGTCAGTCTTACCAGCTTTAAAAACAGGGACAGTCCTTGAAACCTTAAGTCTATCAGGAAGAATACCCATCTGAAGTGATAAGTTAAAAACATGAGATAGGGGACTAGCAATAAGATTTGCAACTTTTTTAAGAACTTTTGTGTTTAGGTTATCGATATCTAAACTAGTTTTAGTTTCAAGAGACAGGATAATATCATTAACAATCTCCGGACTAAACAAACTAAACTCAAAATTGAAATTGGAAGGATCAGTATAAGATTCAGGATGTGTTAACGTTGAAGGAATATTAGCACGAATATCATTTGCAATTTCAGAAAAAAAATTATTAAATTCATTAGCGATATCAGCTGAATCATTATAAAGGATGTTATTAACAAATATTTCTTTAATATCAGAATTCTTTGAAGATGATCTATTAATGGATTCATTTAGAATCTTCCACATAGTTTTAGGATCCTTCTGGTTATTCTGAAGTTCATTCTCATAATAAAGTTTTTTACTGGCCTTGATAAGTTTATTAAAAAGATTCCTGTAGCGTTTATAATTGGAGAAATTGAGCGCGGTTTTATCGGATAAGTACAGTTTGTATAGTTCAAGTTTTTTTCGTCGAGAAGTGAGTAAACCAGTAGACATAAAACTATTGAGTTTATGGAAATTTTTATTGAAGTTAACCTGTCTCAATGGAAAGTGTAGGTTAAATAATGTTGAAAATAAGTCCCAAAATATATTATAAGCAAGCTCAGGGTCTTGACAATCCAGTACATCATTCCAACAAATGTTGCTTAGGCTTTCATAAAATTTTGAAATATTAAGATCAGAAAATGAGCAAGCAGATTTAAAGACTTTAGCTACTTTTTCCTTCTTGAGATTAATTGAACAGAATGTAAAGCAATGGTCGGATATATCCTGAGTTAGGACACCAGAAGTGAAACTCGAAGCATGTGAGTTAGTAAGTATGTGGTCAATCAATGAGTGATTATATTGAGAAAAAAACGTAGATTTATGAATAATATTTAAGAAACCATGGCTCAATATAGATTGAAAGTATTTGGCGCTCAAGCTATTATGATTTAGGGATAAGAGATCAATGTTACAATCCGTCAGAATAAATGAGGCAAGATTAGATTGAGACAATGAAGTTTTAGTTAAGAGAAAGTCAAGCATTTCAAGATATGCATCCGACTGCTGAGATATAGTCAAAATATTATGACTTGGAGGTCTATATAAAGAAACAAATAACATTTTTCTCTTGTTTGAAAATTCAATTTCAACACATAAAGACTCAAAGATTCTCTCATTAAAAAGAGATAACTCTTCAATAACTTTAAAATTCAAACCTTCTCTAATATAAAATCCAACACCCCCACCTCTTGCATTAGATCTACTTTTGAAAACAAGTTCATGAAATCCAGGAAGTGCCAATGATTTTAAATCTTTTATATCCCAAATTTCTTGCAGTGCAATTATATCAAAAAAAATGTTCTCATTTCCAAGAATACTGATCATTTCAGATAGACGGTTGAATTTACTAGATAGACTTTGGATATTGGCACTAAGTATTAAAGGATTATTTAATCCTGAAAAATTAGCAACTAAAGAAGATTCGTCATAGTATTTGCATTCTATATTTAAATTATCAAATAAATTATTTTCAGCACATAAAAAATCGTTTTGAAAAGATCGGAAAGTATTCAAGCTATCAGCTAAATCAAGATCAGGGTTTGTATTCATGGAGTCCAGTGGATTTACCGAATCATTATGAGAAACTTTGTCCTGATCAACCTGCTATCAATCCAACCTGCCGTCTCACAACCACACACAACCAACCTTAACAAAAAAATATTGTATTAATAAAGAGCAAACCAAGGTGTAGATTAAAATAATTTAATTATAACAATGTGACATAAATAAAAATAGTCACACCTGCTGTCTCCATACATAAAAAAAAAGAAAGAAAGATAACTCGGACTGAGTACAGGAGCACAAGAACTGGATAACTCGGACTGAGTACAGGAGCACAAGAACTGGATAACTCGGACTGAGTACAGGAGCACAAGGACTGGATAACTCGTACTGAGTACAGGAGCACAAGAACTGGATAACTCGGACTGAGTACAGGAGGACAAGAACTGGATAACTCGGACTGAGTACAGGAGCACAAGGACTGGATAACTCAGACTGAGTAGAGGAGCATAAGGACTGGATAACTTGAACTGTGTACAGGAGCACATGGACTGGAAAACTCAGGCTGAGTACAGGGCACAAGAACTGGGTAACTCGGACTGAGTACAGGAGCACAAGAACTGGATAACTCGGACTGAGTACAGGAGTACAAGGACTGGATAACACGGACTGAGTACCGGAGCACAAGGACTGGATAACTCGGACTGAGTACAGGAGCACAAAAACTGGATAACTCGGACTGAGTACAGGAGCACAAGAACTGGATAACTCAGACCAGGTACGGGAACACAAGGATGGAGACAGACATATGATGGCGAGTTGATTAAAGTCTCTTCCTTATTTCAGGATCTTTCTTCTCTGTGAAGTAAATCTTTCCTGCAAGGCTCCACGCAGCAAGGATATTTGAATCATTTTTAAGTTCAACCAGTTTCTTGTAATTCAGGGCTGTGAGGTCTTCAGATATGAAAATATGTTTCCGATCCTGAACATCAAGGTAGGATTTCTTGTATTTGAAAACCAGCTGACGAAGGAGTCGGGATTGGAACCTTACAATGACTGGATTCGGTTGAGTAGGTTTGTTGGAATCTTTACGTCTCATTGGTAGTGTATGAGCATATTCAATCAGCTCGAACATATCAGGAACCTTTGAAATTACTTTATCCTTGACAGCAAGCGAAAGGATGGGATTTAGAAGGTTTTCATACACCAGTCTTGAGGTAGAAATGGCGTCTTTGGAGGTATCATCACTAATCTTTAATCCAGAGATCCTAATACTGCTGTTTCTGCTATGCTGCTCACGATCATTAACCATATCAGCAAGGTTTCGGATGATTTTCTGGGACTGTAAGTTATCCTCCTTAACTTTTTTCAAGGTTTCATCTAAGGAATCAAATCTTTTTGTTAAATTATCAACACTTTCCTTGAGGGCCATCACAAGAGTTTTTAGATCATCTGAATTAGAACTATCTTCTTTATCTTTAGAGGGTCGTGGCATGATGATTGAATTGTTGCAAAATATCGAAAATCTTCTATTGATAGAATGTGTGAATTCAAAGGATACTGGCAGGCAGGTAGTTTAGACTAATCACGGATCAGTGGAGCCAGAGTAAGAGCCAATGAGAAGCTGAGATTTCACGAGGAGAAGCAGGCTCGACCAATGAGAGACGCGAATAACTTCAGGTCCGATAGATAGATACACACCTAGGCAGAGAGGGAACTATCTATACATAGATGCTTCCTCAACCGTGTCTGAACTAATAAAGGGTTGTGGAGATACAAAACCCAGCCAATTTTGTCTGTCTCAGCATCGGACAAAATTGACCGAGCTCTTTCAATTTTGACAGTCTGCTGCAGGAAACGGTCAATTTTGTCCAGCTCGGCATCGGACAAAATTGACCGAGCTCTTTCAATTTTGACAGTCTGCTGCAGGAAACGGTCAATTTTGTCCAGCTCGGCATCGGACAAAATTGATCGGGCGGTCAATTTTGATCGTCTGCAGCAGGACAAAATTGACTGCGTCCTGTACCTCTACTACACCTCCCAGAAAAATATCATGCTGTATATCAAAATATTGGTTTTAGTTGGGTTTGATTTGCATTTTCCACTCATTTCTGGCATTCACAAACTCCATCAAATAAAGGCTTCATTTCATACCTTTCCGTTTTCAACTTGTTTTATACCCTTCATTATAGTCATTCATTTTACATTAACTACAAAGATCTGTAAAGAAAACTGAATTTATTTTAAGTAAGCTACAAAATAATAGTTTTACTCAAAGAGGAATAGGATGTTACTTCTTAAAATCTTTAGAAAAGCTACTCTGCAAAACTTAGAAAAAATATTTTCTTTATTTCTAATTTCTAAAATTTTTTAGTCGTCAATGTAGAATGTTAAGACCTTAAATAAATCTAATATTGAAATGACATTATTTAGAAGTAAAAAGTAAATCTATAAATTGTACACCCCCTTTTTTAAGGTAACCCGGTTTTAGTAATCGTTCTATACTAAGAACGTAATGTGGGGATGGAAACGTTCTTTGGGGTTGGCGTGGGGGCCTGCCCCGGCGTGGAGGTGCTATTGAAGCTTCATCACCTGCCGTGAAAGCTGGTTTGAGGCATTGAACTGAAACAACTTGTACTCTCTTGCCAACTTGGAGCTGAAAGGTTTTAAGGGAGCGAGATAAAACCTTGTAAGGACCTTTGTAGAGTAGAGCCAGGGGAGCAACGTGTCCATCCTTACATATAAAAACCATTGGGCAAGATGAAAGTTCTGCACGAATAACTTCTGGGAGAACAGCAGCTGCTGGAGTATTATGACGAGGTGGAGAGGTGGAACAGGTTGAAAACCAGACATCAAATTTTTAAGGTTTTCATAGAACAGATTGGTTGGGGGATCTTGTACCTTTAGGAACTGACTAGGCAGGGTTAAATCAGAACCATCAACAGCTTCAGAGGCGAATGTGGCAGAGTCCTCTCTGGGAGATGAATGTAATCCTAATAGAACCCAAAGTAGGTATTCTAACCAATTGGCAGAAGCCAGACGAGCACATAGAGAATTTTTTAACTGTCTGTGGAACCTCTCCACCATGCCATTGGACTGAGGATGGAAAGCTGTGGTGGTCTTGTGCTTGATATTAAGTAGGGAGCAGATGGAGGACCATAAGGATGTAGTGAACTGGGCTCCTCTGTCACTTGTAATCACTGCAGGTACGCCAAACCTTGAGATCCATCCATGAAACATGGTGGAGGCACACTCTGCCACAGAAATCCCAGCTAGAGGTATAGCCTCAGGCCATCTTGTTGATCTGTCGACGCATGTGAAGAGGTATGTAAAACCATGAGAAGAAGGCAAGGGACCAACAAGGTCTACATGTACATGTGCAAATCTTCTGAAGGGAACAGGAATCTTTTCAGGGTGAATGTGAAAATGGCGGAGGACCTTTCCTTGTTGGCACTGAAGGCAGGATTTGCACCAGTCACGGACGTCATTGGCTTAGCCCCTCCAGACAAACCTTGTAGAGATAAGACGTCTGGATGCACAAACTCCTGGTTGTGACATTCCATGTAAGATGGAGAAAATGTTAAACCTTTGAGAAGATGATACCAAGGGGCGGAGAACATTCGTCTTTGTGTCACAGAGAAGAGAACCATTCTGAGGAGGTTGGGGGAAGCCTTTAGGTGGAGTACATCAGTGCAGGACAGCTGTTGGAAAAGGTGATGGAATTGTTGAATCTGACACCTCAGACACCTCCAACACCGCCGACACCTCAGACACCTCCAACACCGCCAAGTCCTCAGACACCTTAACCCCAGGGGAAGGAGGCAGCTGTGGAGCAGAAGATGATTTTGGAGCAGGAGGAGATGCTAGAGCGGGAAAGGAAAGATTGTCAGCCACTACATTTGCAGCTCCAGGTGTATGGCAGAGATCACTAGTGAATTCGGAGATATAGGATAATTGGTGTTGCTGACAGGTGGACCATGACAGAGAAACACATAAGAGAGCTGATACCAGGGGAAGACGATAAGTCAGTATGTGAAAGTTTTGCCCCTCTAACTCAAAACAGAAATGGCGGAGAGCCAGAAACACTCCTAGGAGCTCTCTATTTAAGGCAGAGTACCTCTGCTGTGTGACAGAGGGCTTGGCAGAGAAGAAAGCTAGAGGACACCAACCACCTGACTCTTTCTGTTGTAGAGCTGCACCAACGTGTGTGTTGGAGGCATCAGTGACAAGTGACACCTCGGCTGATGGATAAGTATGTGTGAGAGAAACGTCAGAGGAAAGGGCGGATTTGGCTTTAACAAAGGCGTCTTGTAACTCCTGGGACCAGTTAATAAGTCGAGGATTTCCAGCTAGGGCATCAGTTAGAGGGCAGAGAGTTCTTGCAATCCCAGGTAAAAAATGGTGTTAAAAGTTGATCGTGCTCAGGAACCTCTGGAGATCAAGTACATCCTGAGGATGTGGTTGGAGGAGTAGGGCATCCACATGACAAGGTAGGGGAAAAATGCCATCAGCAGTAATGTCCCATGTACTCAGTCTTGTTCTGTACAAAACTGCACTTATCCAGGTTCAATACTAATCTGTTCTGAACCAGGAGCTCCAGGACAACTTGGAAATGCTCAATGTGAAGCTTTCTGTTCCAACTAGCAACTAGGACATCATCCAAGTAGACAAAAACAAAGGGCATCCTCTTAAGATCCTGTCCATCAGGCGTTGGAATGTTTGTGCCCCATTCTTAAGTCCAATTGACAAATATAGAAATTCAAACAATCCAAATGGAGTCACAATAGCAGTTTTACAAATATCTGCCTAATTCATGGGAACCTGATTGTATCCCTTCACTAGGTCGAGTTTGGAGAAAAACTTGCAACCTCTTAAATTGTTTGTGAAATCACGAATGTTAGGGAGAGGATACCACTCTGGTCTGGTAACATTGTTTAAACGGCGGTAATCTTCGCAAGAACGCCAGGACCCATTAGATTTTGGAACCATATGTAGAGGTGAGACCCAAGGACTATCAGACCGACGGATAATCCCCGCCAATTACAATTTTTGAAACTCAGCCTTAGCTTGAGCTGACTTAACTTGATCCAAACGGTGGGGCTGAGCATATAACGGTTGTCCTTCTGTCTCAATCACATGCTCAACGATGTGTTCAGGGGAAATGGAGGAATCGGCGGGAGAAAACCTAGGCGGTGAAGAACTTGGCTGTTCTATGGTGTCTACAAAGAGGTTAAACTATGACAGGAAGTTTGCTCCAAGGATAGGTTGGTCCACATCAGTGAGGAGGAACTGGAACTGGAAACAGCGGGTACCAAACTGCAGAGGAATAAATCTGGAGCCCAATCAGCCATTAGGAGGTGGGGTCCTGTCGGAGCAGCTGTGGAACGATGGGGAAACACAGACCTTGAAGCTCCAGTGTCCACTAAATAATCACAGTTTGACAGGGATTCTTGAAGGTACAGGAGATAACCGCTGATGGGAAGGCTGTTTAATTTTTCCTCCTCCCGCCATCTCTGAAGTTTCCCTGGAAGCAGCAAGAAGGGCCACAATTGTTGGCTGCAGGACCAAACAGTTTGTGGAAATAACATCCAGAGTTTGATGGACCTTGGGTTTGACTTTGGCAGTTTGCCGACGGGCTTCCGAAGTCCTGAGCTCTACTACGTGTTGGGGAAGATGATGAGGTTGAAGCTGCGGCTAGGAGATTATCAGAATGTGTAGCTTTTCTGGCCTCCCACAAACTATCAGCATACAATACCATTTCACTAGGGTTTTTGAATTCCCTGGAGACTAAATGGTCCCTCATCTCGACGGGCAACCTCTACGTAAATAAACCCAGGAACAGACTACCTGGTGTCTCGTCCTCCAGGAGAAGGGCCAACATGGCGTCCATGAAAGCAGTAGGGCGTCGGTCTCCCAGCCCAGGGTGATGAATTAGTTTGGAAACCTTCTGCCAGCGTGATAGAGTGTGTGAGGAGACAAGCTTGGCCTTTAAATCCTAGTAAGGGGTAGCCGAGGAGGCGGAAGAACCCATGATCAGGCCGCCTACAGAGACCATAATCTTCTGGGGAAGCTTCTGGATGATGTGATAGAACTTGGTTTTGGTTTGTGTGATTTGAGCGTTTCTGAAGGCAGCCTCCACATGAAGGAACAACAAGGTGGGGTCCTCTGTCCAAAAATCGGGAGCTTGATGGCGACTTTTGGGACATACTCGGTTGGAGTTTCCTTCTGGTCCTTCAAGATGCTCGGATGTATCACTTAATGTTCAAAGTTTAAAAAAACCACGAAACTGGATAGCATTTAACTGTATGTTCAAAGTCAGGGGTCACCAATATAGAGGACGTGAGGTCGATCTCTAATAAAACTAGAGTATTCAAAAAATATGTTAATATCAAGATCACATGCTTTAGACTGATAGTACAATGTCCTGTATCCATTCTGTCTCATTCAGGTGAATCTTGTGGAACTTGTTTTAGGCGGCCAGGTATCATCTTCTACAGGATAATATATTTTCTATCATCTCAATCTTATCTATGGATAATATATTTTCTATTATATCAATTTCATCTATGGATAATATATTTTCTATTATCTCAATTTTATCTATGGATAATATATTTTCCATTATCTCAATTTTGTCTCTTATTAATATATATACTTGGAAAGGGCAAGTAATCTAGTAATAAATTATGTGGATTTTATTTGAAATTTATTCTCCTCTTTTTATGAAGATTTTCTCAGAAGTTTTTACTATCATACAAGGATACATATGAGAGTAGGGATGGCAATTGAAATAAAATCAGATGTTGAATATTTTAATTTGAACCAATTTGATATCCGATGGTGGGCACTTTAAATCAGAGCATTAATGCATGTAACTTAATCAAAGCTATTCCAGCAGGATATAACCACCACGGGATATCGAAGAGGAATTAAATTAATCTGCATATACTGAAGACCAAGGCTTGATCCCAAAATTAGAACTACAAAAAAAGGTTTGACTTTACTGTAATTTTGTGCAAAAAATTTATCTTTCCAATACTTTTGTGCAAAACATTGATCTTTGCAATAATTGTGTACAAAAAATTGATCTTAACAATACTTTTTTGCAAAAATATTATCAAGATTTGAAAATTATAACAACGACCAATGAAAGAAAGAGAATAAGAATAATCCCACGGGTTTAGGTTTTTTTATTTAAACAGAAACTATAAAAGGATATCTGAGTTTTGCATTTATAAATATATACATACATTTATCTGTAGAAATATGCGTAGACAGAATAGGATAAAGAGGTTTTATATAAATCCTTTACAATGGGATAGAAAACCCTCTTTAACAAACTCCATTAAATATTTTCAAATATATATTCTCTATATTTACTTTTTGTAATGCTAAAGATGAGAAAATGTTTTCTTTAAGGGAAGAATTACAAATAATGTTTAAGAACTGTGTTTCTTTTAAATGAACTATAAATGAAACTTTAAGTGGCTAATTCGGACAAAATTCTTCTGTAGCGAAAATTCGCAAAAAAAAATTTTCAAAAGAAAATTACCTGAAAATAAATATTTCGAAAAAGCATAGATTCTGTTCTTTTTGTGGACACTCATAGGGAGCCAGAGGATGACTTAGGCTAAAGAAATTCGTTTTTTTTCAAAATTGTTTTTTTAAATATTTTTTTTTTTTCACGGGCAACACAAACCGTTCAGTTGTAATATCACCACAAAATTTGGTTGGGGATCTACTGGTGGTTCATGGAATTTTTTTAGCTTGGTTTTAAGATTCTAGGTTAAGTGGGTCGACGTTTATAACCAAAATCTAGTTTCCCGGTAAAATCGTTTAAGTGCGGGTAAACGACGGGAGTAGCCTTTAGTAACCTGGCACCGCTGGGTTCCCAAGCTAGTAATATATAAGTATATACTAATGATATACAATACAATTTTTCAAAATAGATATATATAAACATAAATTTTCTACTTAACCCTACAGGGCTGGGATAGGCAGGAGAGGGGGCTTCAAATGTTGTTAAAGGGGATTAGCCACAAACACATAACCCTTTACATTCCGACTCATGTTTTTTTGCAAATAAAAAGTTAAAAAAAAAATGAAACTTTTCTTCCATTAAAGCCTGGAACATGGAACGATCAAAAGTAGAAAATTGTCAACATCCAACAATCAAGACACAAAAATTCAAAACATGAAAATGTTTTCTTTAATCTTTAAAAATGCTGAATGAAAATGTTTAAATTTGTCTTTGATCCCCTGGTTTATAATCTTAAATTATACAATCATTTTTTATGGGTCCAACATTCCACCACAAAGTTTAATGATCCCAGATTCCTCAATGAAAGATTTAGGAAAGTTTTTAATATTTAATGGATGTTTTCAAACCAAGGTGACTGAGAACAATGTTCTGATGCAATGTAGGTATATTTCCCACTTAATTTACAAAATGGTTGCGCGCACATTTTTGTTTTCGGCGGTACTTCGTGCACTTTTCCCGATATCTATAGAAGTTAACGTTCATAAAAAGAAAATATACATGTGGCATAATTTTCTCGTAATAATCTTCGAACTAATGGAGGTTTTAGGTTTAACATATTTTTACAGGATGAATCAAACCATTGCCTCAAACCACCCCAGGCCCAGCTAT